CAGAAGAAGATGACATGATAGCTTAGCTCAGGCTGATGATCAAGAAGAAAAACTCGTACAAAAATTTCAAGTTCTGTTTCATTTTAAGATAAAAATAAAATTTCAAAACATATACTTTGGTTTTCTAAATAAATTTCAAAATTTTTTTTACTAAAAATCAAATTGTCCTATTTATTTTTTCCAGATTTATATTATCCTATGTGAAATTTTTAAAAGTAAAATATAAATATTTTCCATATCACCAACATAGAACAAAAAAATAAACTTTGTATGAAATATTCTATCTTAATCCGATTAAAATTACATAAAAAAATAATAAAGTGATAAAATTACACCCAAAAAATAAAATATATATGGGATTCTAAGTTTTGACTTCTAATATCAGGATTAATTCTTCTTTTGCAAGAAATGACGTAGACTGCTAAGCTGAACATAAAAACGCATACCATTTCAGTCCTACATTTTCCATCAACTTAGTTGTTTTGATTTTTTGTATTCTAGTAAGTATTTAACTCAGTAAGATCCCTTCTTTAAGTAAAGCAACCTCTAGAACATAAACGAGGGAAACTTAGTTTTGACTAGCTTTTTTGAAAAAAAAAAAAAAATTTAATTGACTGAAATTATGATGCATTGAGTTCTCATAAAAATTCTTATGCCACAAACTAATATGTGATTTGTCTAATGTCTAGAGAGAGGAAGAAATGCTGTTGAGCTAAAATTCAGAACCGATGAATTTTCAAGCGACCTCCTTACAGAAACACAAAGATAATTAAAATGTGCGCATTGCTGTTTTAAAAGATCCTTGTTTTCAAGTCTGCTAGTGGAAAGGACAACAAACTATAAACTTTTAGCTGATAAAAAAAAAAGACATAAATAAAAGGAATGCATGCTTATGTACCCTCATAGAAATTTGCATTCTAAGATGATCACACAATATTTGGGTGCAAGTCTATGACGTTGGGACAAAGGTTTGTGAAATGCTGCAGCAAATTAGCAACTGCTTTATCCACTGGCATCTTCTGAAAGTCAAATTCATTTCTTCATCTCCCTCCTCTGAAAAAGGTGTGTTTTCAACTTCATTGCCAACAGCTCCACCCATATCACTACCAATTGGCCATGTTGTTTGTTGAGCTCTAGTAGACTCTTCCACTATATTTTCATCAATTGATCGGATTGCCTGCAAAACAAATTAAAGCATGGCATGTGAAGAACAAAAAGCATGTATAATTCAGTAAATTTAACAAGAAGCAAGGACCATTGAATGAACCCAATAAGAAAGATTGCCACCCAATAGAATTGGGAATTAATATTGCCAGCCAATTACATTTTCAATTTCATTAGGAATTAAAACAAACACATGGATGACAAATTTCAATTGAAATCCATAACAAGCTCCCTTGAAAAGAGGAGATTAATATTGCATAATCAATAAAGATGAAAGAGGAAATGAAAAATATACGACATATGAACCTCTCTGTTCATAAGCTTACCCAAGTTCAGCTATACAAAAGGCAGGGCAGCTTTTGATACTTTTATATTGGGAGTTAGGGTGCGTAGCGTACCTCTGTTTTGGCATGCCCAGATTGCTCTGACTCAACACTGAAGCTTGTGGTTATATTGGGACAACCTCATACAGATAAAGATTGCAAAGATGGTAATACGAAATGATAACCCGCAGGGCTGAAGCTCTCAAGGTTTGGTAAAGTTTCAAGATCTAAGTAGCCCAATTGAGGTAGCTGTATCACTTTCTCTTTTTCCTCGCTACCATTTGCCTCATCTCCTGATTGTTCAAATACTTGTTCTAATTTGGAGACGTTGTTAACACATAGAATTTGTAGTTTTGGAAGGCCATGAGCAACACTCACCGGAAAGAGACATTTCAAGTTTTCACATGAATAAATGCGTATTTCAGTCAGATTAGGGAAGCGTATAAGTTGGAGATGATGACCTTGTGATGAAGTTTGACCATCCTTTTCAATAATTTGCTCCAATTCCTCACACTCAATTATCCATAAAGAGCTCAATTGTGGCAAATTCCGAGCGATAGTAGGTGATAAGATATATCTTAACCTTCCGCATCTACAGACATCCAATTCAGTGAGGTTTTGAAAGTTCACAACTTCGATGGGATCTTTCCATGCCACCCGCAATTCAGGTAGATCATACAATTTTAGTAGCCTCAAACTTGAAAGATTACATTCACCATCAAATAACTCTTCAAAATTAATGATGGTTAAATATTCCATATTTGGTAATTTTTGTCCTAATTTAGGAACTATCATATTGCATGATTGCTTCTTTTCTCTCATATCCTTAAATTGTAACACCTGTAATCATATCATTTCACTATTAATTCAAAAAATGTAAAAAATAACTAAAAACTTATTTATTCTTTATTTTTAAATTTTATATAAAATTTCGATTTTAATAATCTTATCATTAAATTAAACATATTGTTGTAAAGGTCTATTTAAAACATGATTAAATGAAACCACCAATATAAGTAAATCTAATGTCAATTAAGTTTAAAATTTAAATTTCTTAAATTTTTTATTCTAATCAATTAATTTAGAAAAATCTTTAATTTAGGACCATATCTCTTATAATTATTGTAGTACAATTAACTAATTATAATTTTGTATTATACAGAATCCATCAAAAAATTGTTTAGAAGTCACATTTTAAGTGGTGGCTACATAATTCTTAATTGTGATTGGTTAACTATAATATTGTAACAAAAATAATTATAAATGAAATACTCTCAATTCATTAATTTAAGTTAAAGACAAATAATTTAATTAAAATATAAAACAATAGTTTGAAAAGATTAGTAGTATATCATGAATAAAAATGAATCCATATGAAACGTTTAAAAACACAAAGTACTAGTTACATACTACATAGGGCTTTTCAATATATCTAAGAAATAAAGTTTGTTCTAAGAATTATGGTTAAAGAAATATATTTTCTTACACGCATTAAATATTTACAAAAATATTATTACTTTTCATTAATTTTTTTATTTGGTAACTCAGTTTGGTTTGAAAAGTTTTTGGCGTTAAACTAAACTAAGCCAAATCAACTAGTTCAGCTTGGTTTTTCTGATTTGACCAAATAAAGCGCACACTACTCTCAATAGTGCTAAATGGTGATATTAAGGGTTTTTTAGTTCATGGTATTAATTATTTATGTTTTTATGAGAAGAAATAACAAATTTTTGTGCTACCATGCTATTATTTCTAGACTCCCTGATATGCATGTCAGGGATAGGGAATCCTTAGAAAACCAGAGTAATATTGTTCTGTAGCCCCTGTTATGCCAACAATAGGGAATCCTTAGAAAACTGGAATCCAATAGGGAATACTTAGAAAATCCCGCAGATCTTTTTGGATATTTCATTTGAGTGACTTGAAAAATAATGCATTGAGATCAGTGGATTAATCAGACAGAAACTCATCATTAAGATATGAAATGCATTTTTTCAATGCATTTCATCAATACAAATGCAATTAAATAATTATTTTTATATTATTTTTTATCGATTTAAATAATAAAAACATTGATTTAGTGGTAAAATAAATTTTTAAAAATTAGACGTTTTAAATTTCAATCTTATTATTTATGAATTTGATTTAATTTTATGTTAAATTTATCTTATATATAATTTATTGATTTTTAAGTGAAATATTTAAATATAAATATAATTTCTTTGTTATTAATATTTTATATACTTGCAATCGTAATTAGTAAAATCAAGACTAATTTTAATATTAAAAAAAGTAGATAAAATAATGCTAAATAGTATGAACAATATGGTTTTATAAGAAGAAATAACAAATTTGTGATATTAATTATTTAAGGCTTTTTTTATGAGAAGAAATTACTATTTAGCATTTTGTGCAATAATTAATTGAACCGAAAACGAAATCTCCTAGCTTTTTTTAACTTAAAAGTCCATGTGACATTAAAAATGATTTATTCTCTTTTTTTTTTTTAACTTTTTAAGTCGAAATTCTTATCATATGCACATCCATGTGACATTAAAAATGATTTATTCTATTAATTTTTTAATAATGATTGGCGTAATAGATGAATTTAAAATATTTTAAAAAATGTAAATGAAAATATTGAGTTTCATAAGATCGTGAATGAAAGTAAAATAATATTGCGTAAAGCTTATAGATACTTGATGCATTTTAATAGTGACAGCTATATTAAAAGTCCACAATTGAGATTTTATTGATCACTACTTAAGTAGGGAGAAGTAGATTCATATTAGTTTTACCCAAAGTGATACAAAATCTATCTTTTAAATATTATAGCACTAGAAAACTTTTTGGTTGTCAATTTATCTAGAAAAAAAATTCAGTTATGTAGTCAAATTATTTTACTTTCTTAGTGTTTGTTTCCAAAGATAAAACATCATAAAAAAAGGTTTTATAATTTTCTCTACCAATTTAAATGGATTAAGTTTCCATTTTTTTTCTTTCCGCTCTCTTATCTATTCTTCCATTCTTTTATATTCCTCCTACAAAGTACAGTTGAAAGAGTAAAAACACAAATAAATAGGCTTACCTGTATTTTAGCCGAAATGATAAAAGGAGTTAATTGTGGACACTCTCTCATTTCCAACTCTTGTAAAGATGGCAGCGTCAGTACAATGTCATTTCCATCCCTTCCTTTTAATTCAGGCAAACCACGCAATGTAACCTTATGCAGCTGTGGAAGACCTTCAGCCATTGAGATTGGAAAAGTATATTCCAGCCGAGAGCAATCCCGAATCCTAAGAGTTGTCAATTTCTCCTAAATTTGACCGTGCGACAATGAGGAAAGAGATGTCAAGTTATTGCAGCCACGTACATATACTTCCCTTAGAATTTGGAGATTGATGCTTGCCACTTCCGTTTTGGGAATTATTTCTTCCAACTCCGAGCAGTGGTATATCTGCAGTTCTTCCAGTTGTGCAAGACTTTGAGCAACAGACGTAGGGAACAGATATCTCAATTTATTGCAGTTGTGTATTGTTACAACCTTCAAACTTTGTAAGCCTACATGATGACTGGGTTCTTCTTGTATGCTCCTCAATTCAGCGATCTGAAATAGCACTTGCATCTCATCACAAGATTTAACTTCCAACCTTTCAAGACTTTGTAGAATTGGAACTGCACATGTCATGTCCCTGCATTTATCTATCATCAAAGTTTTTAATTTGAGCAAAAACCCTTGCGGTTGATGACCACTGCACAGCTCTTCCAAACCACGCATATTTGTTAAAGATAATTCTAACAAATTAGAGAATGCATTGGTTAGCACCTGCTGCTTTGTTGTATCAATGAGACATTTCATATGCTCGCAACTTTCAAGATCCAGAGAAGTCAGTTTACTGAATACCACTTGGCCCGACTCCAAGCTTGGAACAAGATTTTGGCAACCCACCATACTCTTCAAATTAAGATATTCTGTATCCCCAAATAACTGCTTGCATACCTCTATTACAGACCCCTGAATCTTTAAAGATCTCGAGAATGGGCAGATTTCAAAGTCCATCTTCCTTCGATAAAAATTAGAAAAGCCAAAGCCAATGCATACATAAAACCTTTGTAATTTACAGAACACAAAGTCTCTTGGAACATGTTCAGAAGAAACCTCTAAATATAATACGATCAAGTTTGACAAGGAATTCAACTCTGATAGGCTGGCATAGCTTTCTTCTTGAACTGTGTTCTCAGTGGCCCATTCTATTCTTCCACATCCATGCAAATATAGTTCTTCTAATTGGGACAATCTTTGTATCAACCGAGGAGGGATTCTCTGTAGTTGTTCGCAATATGATAAATCCAACAATTTAAGATTATCCAAATCACCTATTTCTTCTGGCAATTCTTTGATATCAGAGCAACTAAATGAAAGAACCTCAAGTTTTTTCAACTTCCCTAGGACTGAGATGTCCAAAAGTTCACAACCTTCCAAATGTAGAGTTCGAAGGTTCGGTTGAAACTGAAATGCATCTGGAGATATTAAACTACAATATTGCAAAACGCAAACTTTCATTGCTTTCATTCCTTCAAATAATTCACTTGAAGTTATGATGCTACCCCTTCCACCAAGTAAAAGGAATTGGAGATTTGGGCATACCAATCCTTTAGGAAGTTCAACCATCCGACTAGTGCTGAAGGAGATTGCTACATAAGGCTCAAAACTTTCTTCTTCTGGCCTCATTTCAACAACCTGAGATTTTATCACAAAAGAAATCTCCTTTCTGTATGATCCTATCCACAAAGCAACATCACGAACCAGGTCATGCATTTTAACATGCCTTTCTTCACAATTTAACAACAAACAAGATTCCTTAAGGATGTCAATCGCTGCAAGCACTTCGCTCCTCACTTCTTCAATTGATTCCACACCTTTATACAACTCTAGTCCCCATGCATATCTCACCAAGTCTTCTACATAAATCTCTTAATCTTCAGGAAATAAGGAACACAACAAGAAACACATCTTGGTCTCCGTATCCTTCAGATAATCAAAACTTACCTCAAGACATAGGTAAGCATTTTGTTGATCAATGTCTTCGATGTCACCCAATCTATGGTTTTTGAGTCTCCGATATGCTGCTTTCCACCTACGATGATTTTTACCTTTCAGAGCAGTCGCCAATGTAACTATAGCGATGGGCAAACCTTTACATTTTTTGATAATTTTAGTTGCCACATTTTTAATAGCATCATCAGAAGAGTCGTTCAGACCTGCTTTGGTGGCAAATAAAATCCAAGCCTCATGGTCATCTAAAAAACCAAGTTGTATTCTCCTTTGACATTCCATGGCAACACACACTTTTTGACGGCGTGTTGTTAAAAGAATTTTGCAGCCTTTGTGAACCTCACCAATTGGAATTCCCATCGCCTCCTTTAAGTCAATATTTGCCCAAACATCATCAAGGATTATTAGAATCTTTTCCTCCTTCTGCAATTTCAACCATAATTCTTGCACTGATCTTCTTCCTCGTTCATTCTTCATATCGAAATCTAAGTATTTTGCAATTTCATCTCGAATTGTTTCAAAGTTTGTCTTTTGAGATACAGTAGTAATCACAACTTTGTCAAACAGATTTAATTTTTGGGCATGAGTTCCAACTTCACGCACTAGGGTTGTCTTGCCCACCCCTCCCATCCCCCACAATCCAATCATGCTAACATTGTCATCCTGTAGGGCCTCAATGATCTGATTGAAAGCAATATTGGAAGACTTAGAAACCATAAAATCCTTAGATGAAAGGAATTCTATGGTTGGAATTGTACTAGGAGAAGAGTAGCCCACTCGTCCAGGTTGACCAAATTTGGTAATCTTTTCTAGAAGCTCAAAAGTAACAAGAGTGTTCTTTATTGCTTTCTTGCTTAATCTATACCGCCAACTCCAAATAGGACACCAATTGAAACATCTCTTGTTTTGCTGCAATTCATTTTCTAGAGTTTCCATATCTAATAGGATTTTGTCCGCCTTTGATAGCAAGTCTCTGACATCATCTTCAATTCCTTGAAGTCGCCTTTCAGCATCCTCAATCTCATGTTGCAGCCGGACCCGTGCCATTATTAGTTCTTCTTTTCTTTCTTTGAGCTTTTCAACATTGTCATGAAAACGGCGAGTGTGATTAAATTGATCTCCTATTGGCTTCGCCACCCAATCTACGAGCAATGTTCCCACGCAGTTAGAAAGAGCAGACTCACAAAACCCACAAGCCATTCTTGACAAGCTCAAGTTGAAGAAACTTCTGCCAAGCATAAAAATATTGGCTATGAGATAAATCATGGTGATGATACTATAAAGAAAATTAAAGAATAATGAAGGTGAACTCTCTAAACATACCAAGCAAGGTGAAGATAGTCCAAAGTGTGACAACCAACTGTTTTTTAACTTTTCCACCAACTAACACTTTTTAAGTGCGTAACAAAGCAAGGTGAAGACAATTCAAAGTATGAGAAGCAAATGCCTTTCTTCAGCACTCTACCAAGCTGAAAAAACGAGATTAAAAAGCAATATTTTTAGATAATTTATAAGAAAATATTACTCAGAAATATGAAATAAAAAAATTAGTGTTGATATGATAGAAAACCAAAAAAATATATCATGCTACAACAATTAACCGACAATTTTAAAAATGATTAATTACAGGTTTAGTCAACCAATTTTAGTTGATTTTTTATTTTGGACACCGAACTATGAAAAGTAACGATTTAGTCACCAATATTACAAAGATTTGTTTCTTTGATTATCCGAACATTTAGGGTTAAATGTTGGATGCCTTACTGTAAGAATATATCATCTACAATTATATTAACTACAATTGTAGTATATAATTAACCAATCACAATTTAAAACCAAACCTAAGAACTTAAAAACTAGATACGCCACCCTCAACCACTTATCACCACCAATGGCACCGTTTCCTCTCTCCTCTCCTCTCCTTTCCTCTGGCTCTACCCCTTCACAGCTAGAGAAACTCCAATAACCCAAGATCAAAAGACCCTAGAACCCAAAACGGCTACCTGCATCCGCCTTTCTACTCCACTACAACCAATTTTTTTGTTGTTTTTTTAATATTGACAAAAAAAAAAGTTAAATGAATTTCCAACCTTTAAATGAATTTCCAACCTTACCACTTCCAGATAGAAGTAATAGATCCGAAGCTTTCAAGAGAAAATTTGCTTAAATAATAAATCCAATCTTTTTCAGATGTGATCTGCTTCACTGAAAAAATTGCAAATTAGATAAAAAATTATGTAAGAAACAAACTTTTTTTGTACAAAGAGAAAGCAATGAAGAAGTTGTTGCATTTACCTCACTTGGTGCCTTCTAATTCTTCGAGGTTTCATTCATGACGGATCATTGAAAACAAAGAAAAGAAATTTGAAGATTGGATTTTTTTTCTCTTTCTTTTTTTTTGGTATTTTTGAGATGAAAATGACAAACAAAGTGGAAACTAGAGAGAAAGAAAATATTGAAGAGTAGCTCTTTTTTTTTTTTTTTTGAAGTTACAAGGAAGGAAATGTAGAATCAAACAAAATTCAACTAAAGTTTTTTTTTCTTTTTTCTTTTTGAGTTGAAGGAAAAGCCAGCAGAGTAGAAATCAACCTTAGAACTCTTGGCCAAAAGAAAAAGGAAATCAAGCTCGCACTGAAATGATCAAAAAGCTTGGAAATTGAACAAAAAAGATTAACAGAACACCCAGCTTCTGAAAGCAGAAATGGGTTTTTGCTTTTTTTTTTTTTTCAATATTGTTTTTTCGTTATAAAATTCATAGTGGCCGGCCCATGACTTCGTTTCTTCTCGGGGTCTTCTTTTTTTATTCTTCTTCTTTAATCTAAGTAATGAAAGACAGCCTGCCCAATATTATTTTTATAATCGTAATGTTCCGTGATCTTAATTCAAAACTATAATACATTTAGTTAATATATATGTATAATTATTTTATAAAACATGTACATCCGAAAAATAAAATAAGTACATTTTTTATATTAAGATTATAAAAAAATTTTATTTTTTTATTAATTTAAATATAAATGTTTCTTTCCAATTAATTATTTTTATTATAATATCAAGTAATAAACATACCATGGCAATGTAGCTACTCATGATATCAAATTTTTATAATCAATTATAGTATTTGAATTAAAATTTTATTGTAAACATTTTTGTATTATTAATCTCATATTATTTTTCTTTTTAATATACTATATGTTTTTTTTTTATCTATATTCATCAGTGCGGAAGGAAAAAAGACAAATAATAAAAGATAGGTAATGAACTTAACAAGTATCAATTCATCCAGGGAACTGTAGGGGTAAACCACTTTACTTAATTACTTGGAGAACAAAGCATAGTCAAGTTATAGATTTGCTAGACCTAGTAGGATTTGTAGTGAGAATATGACTATTGGATTGAGAGTAATCCAAAGACTATAGAATAATCCAACAGTCAGCTTTGAAATTTATTACTCTATTTTCATGTGTTTCTCATTATTGAAACATATTAGAGATATAAATAATACATCAGTTTTTGCAAGTTATTTGAGTTAAATTCGGATAACTTTTGAATTCAAGCTCAACTTATTGAGTGAGCCGAATTCGAGCATTTTAATACACAATTGGAGTAGTTTGTGAATTTAATTAAATTTTTATATTTTAATATATTTTATTTTTAATTAAATTTTATTATTTTATCTTTATATATATTTATTAATTTGAACTAAATTCGAACATATAATTGAGTTTGAAATTAAGTATTGAAATTGAGTTCATTTTTAATTAAGTGAGCCTAATAGAATGAGCTCGAATAATTTGATTTTTATCTCAAATCGAACTCGAACTTAAAAATTAAGATTTGATCGAACTCTAACCGAATTTCGAATCAAGCTCGAATCCAAACTTCTCACTGTATTGAATCGGTTGGACTCAATTACAGCTCTAATCAAACCCAAGAACAAATCCAAACAAGCTTGGGAAAGAAAAGCAAGCCCAAACAAGCTAAAAACAACAAACCCAAACAAGGTCGAGAAAAAAAACTTATAGCTTACAAGATAAAGATTTGTTTTTTATTCTATCATTGCTTACTTAAATGAAACAAATGGCAAGAATCACTGCTTCTTAGAACCTATGGTAGTTAGCATGTGTTAATGTCGAGATGATGATTGGAAAACCACCATGGGATTTTATCAAAAACCTGAAAAACCTTGCGGTGGCATTGCATTTACAAGGGATTTCTTCTCAAAGGTCTGTCATCTTCTTCCTGTTTTATATAGTCTATTATCTGATTCTTTCAATTTGAACCATAACCATTCCAATGAAACTACTAACACTGAAAACATTACTTTATGAAAATAATAACCATTCCAAGACCTTCCTGAAGATCTTGCTAATGGCCTTAGAAACAATGAGATAGCAGTTTTCTCTAAGTGCCTACAGCCATGTAATTTCCAGCAAAATATTGCAAGGGATTTGCCATTGCTGGGCCAACTTTCTAAAAGTGGGAGGCTATGGCCTTAGAAACAATGGCTTACATATGAGAACTATGTTGAAATGGATTTGGATGGTGGTGAAATATTTGCAACATGAACCATGTCAACAATTTCTTTCATATATATGCAAGCCATTGCAAATCAGGAAACAATTCAATGCTTGTACATAAGAATGAATATTGGACATTACTGTTGGCATCTGCAATTAAAAGATTGGTTAAAACCAGAATTAAGCTGTTCTCAGAAAGAGCAAGAAACCCAAAAATTAAGTCTTCATAATACAATTTCCTAAGCTCAAAAGTTTGAATATTAACAACTTGGTCTAGAGGAAGGGAAATTGAAAAAGTGGAATTGGAATTTGCGTATATTTTAATCAATAACATAGGGAATTAGTATAGTTACATTCCAGAAAAAGTGAAAATCAGTGTCCAATGTTGGTTTTGTTTACATTTATGACTTATGGCACCATTGAAGCTTCAGCAATAGGAAACTCATGAGAATGATTATCCAATCTATTTGTAAATGGTGCCACAGCATATTTTGTATATCTAAGAATTAATAAGTCTAATTTTGTTACTTAGGTTATACTACCTATCTCTCATATTCGATCATTTGTAAATAAGTGAGTGGTTTGTTGGGAATAGTGACTAAAATCCCATAAATGATTTATTTGAGATTAGTTAGATATTGCTTGATGGATAAAAAGACTTGCAAAAGAGGAATTCTAAGAGGAAAGAGATTCTTAATAGGTAAGTTTGTATGCTTTTAAATAAGCAAAGTCTCTATAGGGTTAAGTATGAAAAAAAGATGTAAGAGAGTTGTAGGATTTTATCGGATAGATACCCTATAAGACTACCGGGGATTTACGTCTTATGGGTGAGTATGTTTGAATATTTGTGAGTGAACTAGAGGAGATTGAAAGGGTCCACATAGATATGGTGCATTGGTGCATAAGTGCATGGGTGCACATGGTGTGCATGGGTGCACATGGTGTGCATGGGTGCACATGGTGTGTATGGGTGCACATGGGTATGTGTTTGTTTGAGTTAAGAATATTTCGTAGGACTAGAGAAGATTAAGAGGGTCTATAGATATTAATTATGAGTGCTTTCTATAGATTGTGTGTTTGTAATTCTCTACAACTAGTGTATCTTATTTCTCATCTATGGACGTAGTTCAGTTGAGTCGAACCATGTTAAATTATTGTCTAACAAGTGGCATCAAAGCTGTAGTAGTCCCTAAAAGTAGTATCAGAGCTAAAGTCTAAGACATCAGAAAAGATAAGCCTAGAGGAGCTTACTTCAAAAGAAGAGTTCGAGTTCATTTTTTAAGGATTGAGGATCAATTTGCATGAAATGTGAAGACATACAAAAAAAGATGATTGTGAGATTTCCATTGCAGGTGAAGCTAAACATGTCCAGCATGAAAATTGATGATTTGATGGAATTTGAGTCAATGTGGAGATTGTTCAGAATAGTGACTGAAATCCTATAAGTGATTTGTTTAAGATTGGTTAAATATTGCTTGATGGACAACTAGACTTGCAGAAGAAGAATTCTAAGAGAAAAGGGATTTTTAATAGGCAAATTTGTATATTTATAAATATGTGAAGTCTCTATAGGATTAGGTATGAGAAAAAGATGTAAGAGAGTCATAGGATTTTATGGTATAGACACCACATAGGACTACTAAAGATTCATGTTTTATGGGTGTGTGTGTGTTTGAATGTTTATGAGTGGATTAGAGGAGACTGAGAGGATCCACATAGGTTGGTACATGGGTGCATATAGATATGTGTTTTTTTAGGTTGAGAATACTTCATAAGACTAGAGGAGATTAAGAGGGTCTATGGGTATTAATTGTGAGTGCTTGATATAGATTGTATGTTTGTAATTCTCTATAACTAGTGAATCTTGTTTTTCATTCGTGGACATAGGTCAATTTGGCCGAACCAAGTTAAATTATTGTCTCTTATGTGATTAATTAATTGTTTGATTTCGCTTTCATTGGTATGATTGGATTGTGGCTTTTTTTGCCTAACATAGGTTTCCTTGGTTAGGTTTATTTGATAATCCATTTGTAGGCCTATTGCAAGGTTTTTATGTTGTTTTCAATGGGTGCTTTAACTAAAAAATATTAAAATTTTCACCATTAACGTTTGTTTTTATTTTATTTTATTGACATATTATTGATTTAATCTTTGAATTTTACGATCAATCTATTGATTTTCATTTTATTTATATATAGTAAAATCATTTACATAAAAGTTAAAAATATTAAATTTTACATATTCAAAAAAATAATTATCATTTTAATTTTTTTGACAAAGAATCTAAAAGATTGTTTCAATGAAATTTACAATTTTGATCGATAAAAAAATTGTCATGAGTCCTATTCAGTCATTTGTCAAATTTTTTATTGAAAATCTTAAGATGATTAAATTCAAAGTAGTTGGGATAATAAAATGGACAAGAGAACTGCTTTAAGGAAAATGACTAATAAAGCCAATCATATGTGGTCAAGTTGGGTTAAAAAAACAAAGCAAAATACAATGACACCTTGGGTTGGGGTAGAGTAGTTCATCTTTTAAACATATGTACATATAATAATATGTACATTGTAGACACCCAATTGGGTCCGGGCCCAGATCAATTGGGCTTGGCCCAAAGAGGTAAGGCCCATTTCAATCCTGTATTTTTTTT